GCTAAGATCCATACAATTTTCGTCAGAATATCAAGATGTACTATACATTATCCGTTCTATATGAAGCAGCTGAACAAAAGCTATAAAAGCCCACAGAAAATACTTTGGTTTTTGAAAGGGTATTCTAGAAATCTTTTGGAGTACCACAATCTTTTTCACTATTCTCAAGTAAATAAACATATAGAACAGGTAAAGTAGAGTACATCTTGATATTCTGACGTAATTTGGATGGATCTTAGCTGGGTTACGAATTTTTTAATTTTACTGAAATATAGGCAAAAATGGGTTGTTTCACCTAATAGGTTTTTGCAAGTGTTTTGAAAAACAAATATTGCCAGGAGATTCAGCGTGGTCGATTACCTATGTTTCCATTTATTTTTCATATTGCCACACCTAAAGAAATATTGATTCTGGAACTCCCTGGAAATCCGATGCCACGCCTGAATCGGAAAAAATCAAGGGTTTACTTCTTTCCCATTTTGCAGAGGACACTTTGGACTATCTATCTATGAAGAAAGATCGCCCTATTTGTAGCTCAGTCCTCAGAGATCCAAATTGGTTTTCTAAAGATCTGCTCAAAATCCGATCTTTGAATCTTTTCCAAAAACCATTTTTGCTTGTAAAAAGATGCGTACAGGTCTTGGCTATCAAACAGTGAAAACCGCGTGTTTTTGTCTATCGTCTATCAAAAGTCACTCAAAAAGCAACCGCCTGCCGTGTATTTTGGAACGGATAGTAGACGTAGTTGTCATGTTTCTCAAATAGAGTATCTTGCAAAAAGTTTTTTAAGAACCAACATTTAGGAGATCAGTGAATGAAGAATAGAAACTGGTGCGGATGAGGGAATGTAATGTTTCATTAGTTAAGGTATACGTATTGCAGACCATTTATTCATTGTTCTACTAAAAATTGATCTGTTTGGATAGCTTCGGTCCCTATGATAACATGCGTTCAAATAAAAGATAATGTGTATTTGTAGCGATGGCCGGAGTCGCTATCACCTATACTTTACTTTTCTTGCAAGTTTATAGTCTTAATGATTATATCATGATACGCTGGCTTTGGACAAACCATGGAAAGACACAGAAAGGTCTGTACAACAGACGTTTACGAATGGTTGAGTATGCTCTGGTTTTGTTTTCACTTTTTGTTGTTGAGATCTAATAGTAAGCGATGATTTAGTTACAGAGTGCTTTCTTTTTCATAGGCTTTTCGATCTACCATATTCACAGATGTATTGTTCAAAAACTTGTTTTTCAACCGAATCCTTGATAATGTCTCCTTAGCGTGCAGCTAATTCGAGATTATCTGCAGTACATATGCTGTATGGAAGATACTAAGAAATCGAAGCACGCACGTGATTATTTACAGCAGAGCATATAGACATGCACATAAAAGGCTCCTTGAGATCGTTACCAGTCAATTTTTTATACGTGTTAGACACGTTCCATCAAATGGCCATCACAGAATGTTTTTTGGAAAACGTATTTTTTGATCATAAAATTTTTGTTTTATAGATAACTCGATGCGGTTTTATGTGCTGATGTACAATTATGACATTTGTTTTAATTCAGAGTGCTTTCTGACAGATTTTACGTGAAAAAACCAAATATTTTTGAAAAAACCTTAATGAGTTTCAGGAACCTGTATGCACCTATATGCTAATGGTATAGATGTACTGCGAGTAAAAGAATATTGGTGGATAACTTGAGTTAGTTTAAGATTTCGCTAAATTCAGCGCACTCATTCCATTGAACGGATGTTTTGGGGATACTAAGTTACTGTGGAAGATTTTTTTTCCTATTCGAGTTTGCATCATAGAGCTTAAATTCTTTCTCCAGTAAGGAGTTTAGATTCAGATCTGAAAGCAGCCTGAGTTCCTAACTATTCAATTATTCGAAAAAAAATTGAGCTGAAAATCGCCTTAAAAATGCTTGATTTTCTTGGTGAACTTTCCCATCTATGTCTGGTGACTGAAACAAAGTTTTGTGTGTAGTGCGATAGCCGGTAGATCGAAGTTTATTTTCCTCATACAGAAACTCGAAAAATGCCACATTCGTTTTTTTTTTAAATGTTCACTTGGATGCCCATTGTGGCATCGATGCGAGAGAAAATAATATTTAAAATGAAAAAAGTATTTTAGAAATTTTCTAAAGTTTTTTGATATGCAAGATGACTTTTAGTTCTTACAGGTCGAAATCACAAACAATTTAATTTCATTGACGAAAATGGGGCAAAGCCTAATCAAAACTTTTTGTTTGCAGTTGTGAACCATTTTACGTTGTAATGTAGACATAACATTTCCCTTTTCAATGAATAGATTTTGTTCAATTTCAATAAGATTTGGGAAAAATCAAAAGATAATTTTTGCAAGTTCCCTCTCAGTAGTGACATTTGTCTCAGTAGGACGCGACTCCCAATCTTATTAGTACGTTATACTTGTGCAGTACATTGTTACTGGTTACAAGCTAGGAATGAAATAATAACCTCACCAACTGAGAATTCGAAGAATGTCTTTATTTCTTCGGAGTTCCAATAAAATTTAGTCTTGGTAATGTAATCTGGTGCTGTTGTTTTCTTGTGGTCCCACTTCTTCCCGTTCCAAGTAAGTAGAGAGTCGATGAAATTAGTATAAGAAAATTAATTAATTGTATAATACATCCTATGGATTTGTGTGTTCTACTGTTAAATAATGTACTTATTAAATATTGTTCAGCTTCATTTTTGAAAAACCATGCTAAGAATGGGACCAACATTAATGATATCAACGAGAAAGAACCGCTTATAATAATTCTTTTACTATTTTCTACTTTAAAATATCTTAATAATTCGGAGGGAATCTTTGCAGATTTACTCCATGAATTCCAAGTTTGCTCGTGCCATAGAGAATGTTCAGTTTTGCTTTCAAGCGATAAAGAATGAGCCCTGATGAACCATGTATTTGTTAATTGATCAACCTAAATTGATAAAAATTTTACGAAAAAAAACCAGGTTCGATTTAAATTTCAACATTTAATAAGCACAAGCAAAAAATTCTTTCGATTAACTGCAATAAAATCGTTAGAATGTATATCACCCAATTGTTTTGGTGCTGTTCTACGTATATATTCCCAACTATGTTGAAAGAAAAGTTGTAGAAAGGCAGTCTCGAGGACTGTACGCGCAGTAAGGACCAGTTCAAGTTTCCAAGGCTTGGACTTTTTTGTAACCAAATAAGTGGTTGTAAAGCATATCTATTTAGTACAAACAAAGTCGAGTACTGTCGGTGAGGTCGATTCTATCTGGTGTCCAGGCAAATAGGCGTCTTCTGACCCGTACCTGTTCTTTGTTGCGGTGTGGCTCTTCGAGGACAAGTAGTCCAGGAATTATTTTTCCAGTGCATGTCAAAATTTTTTCTTGTTGATTGTAAGCGATCAAGATTAAAATCCAGTCGCTAAATTCTGTTTATTTTTAAATCGAGGATAGCGACTGCAACGATACATGAGTCTATAGTGCATCGTCCAAGCGACTCTGTTCGATTTTCCGCGCAAATTTAAGTAACTGATAAAGACCAAGCTTTTTTCACTTCGCTTTTACTTTGATACCCGATTATACGACTTTTCTAACATGAACAAAGTGTGAAAAGCTTAGTATTTATACTTAAGTTTTTGCTTTTTGTAACTCTCCTCTTCCTACCAATCAGTTTGTGATTCCTCCTCTCTCTCACTCTAAAATCGGCCGTCCTAGGTTGTTGACTTTTTGCTTACCTTATCGAAACAATATGCACTAAAATTATTTCTTTCTTCTTGTTTAACGTCTTTCGATGCTAATCGTGTCGATGAGTTCGTGATTTCACTTTCTAATAAATCTCTTTCTGATTGAATTTGTGTGATAAGTTTCGTATAATGTTTCATAACATTTCGTGTCATCACTTCAGATTTCCACCAAAGATTATTGGGAGAATAAGTGTGAGATGGATTCGAAATTGTGGCATTCGAGGGAAGAAGTGGATATGGAACAGATGTAGAAGAAGTAGGTGATATAAATGAAGGAGGTAATGATGATAAATCCAACCATATGGGTTTGAATACAGATAAGCACGTTAATGCTGTACAAGTTGCATAATGTGTTGGAATGTGATCATTACATGTTGGTATAACTGAGACTAAAGCTCCAGTAGTTTGATTAATGCGTATAGGTCCAAATCCTGCATGCATACACAAATCAACGTTCATTAAACCATGTGCCGGTGAATTTTTCGATTGTTCATGATCCCGTAAAAGGTTAAACATATCAGTTATACTAAATAAGCCAGTTGACGTTTTTGATTTGATACTTGCTTGATGTATTAATGTTTTCGATCTACATTGTCTCCTATCAGCACGTGAAAAACTAGTTTTAATAAAACCATCAAATAATTTTTTAGGATTTAATGATATTCCCGAATAACATTTTTGAAAATGAAAATCTAGTATAGATTTACACCAACCATTTGAAATTGCTTGTGTAATTAAATTATCCGAATATTCGTCAAATGTATCTATACTGCCAAATGAAATAATATTTGAAATTGTATGTATTCCTGAGGTAATCCTTTTAGCGGCATACTCTTTACCAACAGTTTCAATTAACCATGCTTCATGTGAATCAACGACTAGAAAACTATTATGATAGTAGAATGAAGATGCAAAGCCACAATTACCACCCTGACCATATTTTTGTAACAATTCAATAATTGTATTTTTACCATCTTCACTCGTACAACATCTTTCAAGTATTAATCTTACTATATCCATTCCAGTTAATCCAGAAGTATAAGATGAAATTTTAGTAAATAATGCTTCATTTCCGGCAACTAAACCATGAGAATTAAAACCCATTTCAGCTCCAAATATATTAGTTGGTGAAAATAAAATACATGAATTTGTTTTTTTAATTTGATCAATTTCAATATATGTTGTTTGAAGTTTTGAATTTAACGAATGAACAGCAGAAGGAACATAACGTATCGATAATGGTTCGTTAGGTTGGCGATCACTGTTTTTAGCAAAGATGATAGAACCAGATTCAGTTACATCATTCATTGCAACCATTGTATCACAAGAAGAAGAAAACATCGTTATTTTAGTATCGAAAATGGCAGATACAATGAAAACGGGATGTAACAGTATTAAGTTGTGTTTAGATGTTTCGATCACAAGACATATCGTTATTTTGAATAGCAATATTTATTGGTTGCCGTTTCTACAACTATTGTCGGTTAAATATATATATATATATATGATATCTTGACGAATTCTGCATAGACCATCAACTTTAATCTTCTTCGAATAGTATAATGTATCATCAACAGGTAATGCTTAAATATGAAATTTTCAAGTGCTCAAACAAATACAAAAGATAAAATAATCATGGGGTCATCCATCGACGAAGTTCGAGAAAAACAAGCACTTTTATCCTTCTAGAATTGCCGCTTCTGCCCATCACCCCCTAGAAGGCATGCACCAATACAATATATTGAGTCCCAATATCATTGTATACCTAATACATTGGGATCAATAATATTGATCACCCAATATATTTTGGATCCCAGTAGTATTGGGTATTCGGTCGCCTGCGTTAAGCCTACTTTTACAGTATAGACGCATGTTCTATCGGGATACATTTTTATATCTACAGATATATATGGGATATATATCTCGATTGTAATATGCTTCCTCACTGTTCTAAGAATGTAAATGATGTTAAGATTAAAAAGTTGGAATCCAGTGTTCTGGAACCCAGTATTGTACAATATTATTGGGTGATCAATATTGTTGCACAATATCTGCATGATGGTTGCAGTAGGATAGAGCAAAATCTCTTGAAAATGAGAGATCCCGCAGCCCTCAGCAACCTTTTCTCATTGAGTTATGACTTTTACACTAGAAGCTCCAAAGCGATTGCCAGTTTATCACAGCTCTTTTTTTCATAACGTTGCTGAGACTTCTGCTTGTGGGGCTTTTAGTGTAGAAGTCATAACTCAATGAAAAAAGGTTGCTGAAGGCTGCGAGATATCTCATTTTGAAGAGAAAATTCTTTGTTCTATCCTACTGAATGATGAAAAAATTTTGCATCTGGTTTTTAAAAAGTAGGATTTTGGAGATCCTGGATTTATGAAAAACCTTTTTTTTAGCAGGATAAAGTTAAGTTGAACTTTTTTGAATAATATATATACACATCAAAGTTAGTGCTGTATGAACCTATCCTCAGATTTATTGTACCAACTATGGTTCACGAAAAAGAACAAAAACAAGTTTGTCTCTAAACTTTTTTCCCCCGCTTTAGTCATCAATATTTTAAGAAAAAATTATGTTTATGTTTATACGTTATTTCGACTTTTGATCTCCTTTTTCCATATAATTTGTCATGTACATAAAAACACTTTGATATCACTATCCTCTTAATTTCTTCCTATTTCTAAGTATTGAAAACGATCTTGTGAACACTTGAAATATTGATCTGATCGAATTCACTGGTCGATATTGTTCGTCTGTTGTATTATAAACAAATTTGACAATTAGATAACCAGCACCTAAAGCAATAAGAATATCTCCTATTATTCTCGGTAGAATGATGCTAACAATGATGATGCTGAACAGCGATTTAGAATGAAATTTTTTTTCTGTTGTGAACGATTATCATGAAATCATATATATGTAATATTCAAGATATAAAATTAAAAATAGAATCGTATTTTCATCTTTATAATAATAATTTAAATGGTTCTTAATAAATGATTAAAAATAACAAGGTTTCGTATTCAAAACTGTCGTTCTGAATCCATTGGTACGTATATTCTCGATGATTGCAGTGTTAAGTTCACGTATGCACTACTTTATAAGCACATCATAAAGTATCGAAGCTAATTTATCAACAAGGCGTTTTCTATTAGTCTTGTATATAATAATTCACAGCTTATACACTCTCTGTGATAAACTATCTTCAAGGTTAGTGTCGCAAGAGTATAATGTTACATCTAATAGGAGACTGCTTGAGGCGTAGCTATTAACAATAGCTGTGTCAATCAAGTTCAATTAGTATTGACGAAGAAGTATCTCTGTCTGGTAAGTGAAATAAATAAGGAGAAAAAGGCAAAAGTATTCTAGAACTTTGCCTGTCTGTCTTTATTTCGTTTGAAACAGTTTTAAAAATATGTCTTAAGTATTGTTTCGAAAATCCTTGAATGTGAAAATCGAAAACAGTCGTCGTTTAATATTACCGAAAGTAAATTACTTGTTTTCAGGTAAAGTGTCCAATCAAATATTCATATTTTTCCTTTGTTTCCATGAAGAGAATTTTCAATAAAGAGAGAAGAACATGTTCATCGTGTTCTCCGTCGAAAGTTACCTAGATTGAATAATTAGAATATGACAGGAAATCGAACGAGAAAACTCGTGTGCAAGCCTTACTGATCTCATATAGACCTGCTAAAGATGACATTCGATGCAAACCGTTTCTGAAGATCCCATGCTAGTTTGTTTTTAGGGTTGTAGACTATAGAGACTACTTCCAGCTTCTACGATTCAGCTCCCGTACTGATCCATTTCTTAGAAGATGGCTGGTCCTAAAGTCCTCATTTTCATCAAAAGTCCATTTTGGAGAGGATCCTTCCAACCAGATGGAACAATTTGAAGGGCTGAGATTTTTAGAGCAAATACATCTCTTGATGCTCTATTTACAGTAAAACTTTCACACCCCTACTATGTTCCAATCAAAAGTTAGGATAAGTCACAAGTTGTGAAAAATGATGATTTTTGCATATATTGGATATTTGATAAAATTATAACGGCTAAATATTTTTCGACAAGAATTTTATGGCACGTAGAACTCATCAATATATGTGTTTGTAGAAAATTTCAGCTCAATCTGTCTAGTCGTTCTTGGAATATGGCCACATCATGACCTGCCCTGGTCAACATAGTAATTTTTAGAGTTTTTCATAAATGTTTATCAATATCGAAGGTTCAATATTTTCTAAAACGGTTTGCACCAAAATTCATAATACTCGCTTCTCTCTGCAGTATATCTTAAATTGAGCAAAATCTAACGATCCCGATTGAGCAGGTTTGATCGTGGTTTATAAGAACTGGCTCATATGTTGAAGGACTATTCTCATTTTTCATCGCTTTCTTCCGAAAAATAGATTTTATTCTCATAGCAAAACGTTCGATTTTCCATCGGGCTGAAAATAAGAGAAACAAAATACATATTCTGATTCGCAATTTCACGAGGATGTGATTCTCCGAGAATCACACCAAAACTGATCGATCATTTCGTCGTTACGTATTGCTGCCTTTTGATTTGGTGGAACAGTATATATAAGAATAAATATGCCCTGATAGTTTTCAGTATATGGTTGAGCCATTACTCTATTTCATATTGACTTTTTATCAAATGTACAAGTCTATTCTCCTGCAATTGATGTTCTATAGCGTCAAACATCTAATTATTACTCAGTCGAATGGCATATGCGACAAGTGTTTCTTGCCTATCCATAATAAATTGTTTCATTGTGTCATATTCGAATATCATGTACTGTATAACCGACCATCGTCTTCTCAAATCGTCTGTAAATAATTTTAGAACTTCTGTTACATCTTGAATCGTTATACCTTTTAAATGTTCTTCGCTCTCTTCGTCTTTCCCAACACTTAGAATGGCTTAGCGCCATTTATCCCACCAGTTAAAGTCATCTTTTTCTACTGAATGAAAATTGGGAAAAAATTGTTTCAATAAGTAATCAAATTTATTCGGTAGATAAATGTTGCACTTAGGAATGCACCAAACCCGAGCTCAGGCTTGAACGTTCGGGTTCGAAAGTTTGGGCCCGGCTACGAGACTGAGGTTCGGGTTCAAGCTTGAGTTCGGGTTCGAGCTTGGGACTAAGTTCGAGTTTGAGTTCGGCAAGCTCGGGTTCGAGCCTGGTTATGATTACATGCTAACATTTTCTCGGTACAAAACTTTGACTATATTTTCCAGAAACAATAAAGACTTATTAATATCGAGCTCTACATCTTGAGGAGAAACACCTCGAGGTAGAGACTCTCTACCTCGAGGTATGGCATACCGTTATTGTTGACCAAGTGTAACTATTGCAGTCTGATTGTACTGCGATTATCCAAGCTAACCGCTGTGGATCTCTGTCACTCGATGTTTCTCCAGTGATGAACACGAACACTCGACACTATTAGCTAAGAAAACAGATTATTTTATGCATCAAATGCTTACAGTTCTCCATTAAGACTTCGATAGTTTTTTCCATCTTCCCTTTATCAGTCAGTTGAACGAGCTTTTGTTGTTGTACGGTTGTTCCGCCGGTAATGCGTTTTCTCTAGTTAACTGAGTTAATTTTCTAGTTTGGTTATTACTCATAATGTGTAATATGATTCAGCGAATGGTAAAACTTAGAAAATAACAGGGGAAAAGAAACTGTTTCAAACATCAGTCATTGTTTAACTTTACTGTTCTCTACTGTATCCTTCAATTTCTTTCCTCTAGAGTATGCAATAAGCAATGTTAGACTCCTTTCATATTGTACATTCTTATCTTCCGACATAAAAGAGAGAAATAGAAAAAATATATGATGGAGAAAACTATCATTCTGATCCATGCTTTTCTTTCAATATCATCATACTGAGATATGTAGGCTAATAAGAAAAGCTTTACTGAAATATGACTAGATTTTTACTGAAAGAAGAAAGAGGAAACTGTTTTAACATGAGAACAGTAGTTTTCTTCTCCGCGTTATATAGTTTTCTGTTTCTTTCTCTTGTCTGCACTGTTAAAAATTTATATGCAAAATAACGTTTTACTGTGTTCTGTTGCTGCTCGGCGTCTTATAAAGCGATATAGTGTGAAATTCTTAACTCTAAACAAAATATTTATCTGATGAGACAAGCATATATATAACTATATGACAGTTATAACGACATTCAAGCAGTGTTTAATATATTAGAAAGTAAAAAGCACATCATTTAAGCACAACATTTGTATATTCAAGAGACTTGTGAGTAGATTATAAAAACCGTAAATGCTCAAACATTCATCAAAA